TAATATACGAGTATATATATATATATATATATATATATATATAAAATAACTATACGTTTTCTAATATTTATAAATTTGTTCATATATATTATATAACCGTCGTTGAAAACCTGACTACTTGGGTTCAACTTCATAGCCTTGTAATTTTGAACCCAATCCGAAAGTTAAAAAAACTCCTGGATCAAATATGTCTCCGCGGAGAACTTTTTAATGAAACTAAGCCATATTTGCGTTACATGCAGAAGGAAACCACGAAAGCCTCCCACAGTTAGCCTTACCGCAAAGGGACTCTAACCAATGATCCGTCTACCAATCGCTGGGATTCGAACCCGGTTCAGCTCATTGGAAGTCTAACGCTCTATCCCCTGAGTCATCACGGTTCATTTCTAGAATTTAGATAAGATCATTTGTCAGTGAAAGGTAAATGTTGCGGTAAATGCAGTGTTTGAAAGAGTACTAAAACATGTTTTCATTTTTAGTGCAAAAGTCTTTAAGAAGGGAGTAAATAGTGATGAGAATTATTTTGAAATAAGAGATTGGAACGAAGTTCTAAGGGAACAAATGGCCTATGCAGAGTTTGAGTTGAGAGATTGGGAGGAAGTTCTCAAAGAACAAATTATGACTGGATTGATGAAGTCAAAGATGACTCCCCTGGATGATAATCCTGATGACGATCTTGTTGCAGTCAATAAGGAGATGAAGGAAGCTCATAAGCGGGGGACAATTGATGAGCTGGAAGATATTGGTACAATGGAACAGTTGTTGAACTGGCTGATACATTGGTGAAGATTCGAAAAAGACTGTCAAAGTTGATAGACTTTCAGAGAGCAATTGATGAGCGGTATACAACATAAAGGATAGAAAAAATTCGAAAAAGACTTTCAGACTTTTTGACAGTAAATGGGTCACTTGATGGCGCAAAATTATGTAACTTTGTAATTCAAAATTTGTAAAAGGAAGCCTAAAGATAGTTGAGATAACATTTAAATTGCTTTTGTTATATTAGTAATGGAAATATCTCATATATCTGTTTAAATAAAGGATTTATTAAACGTTATTTCTCATATCCTTTTTCTCTAATTTCAGATTTAAAGTAAGTATATATACACCGAAGAGCCATTACATTATGACCACCCTACTAATAACATGCAGGACCACCTTTAGCCCGCAAAACTGCTAGCACCCGCCGTGGCATTGATTCCACAAGGTGCTGATAGGTAGTCTGAGGTATCTGGTACCAAGTGCTCACCAACTGGTCCTGCAATTCCCTCACATTGCGAGGGGGTAGCGTGGCAGCACGAATTTGGTTTTCCAAGTAGGACAACAAATGCTCGATTGGATTAAGGTCAGGTGAATTTGGGGATCAAGACATGACTTGAAAGTCACTGGAATGTTCCTCGAACCAATCCAAGACGATTAAACCCTTATGACATTGTGCATTATCCTGTTGGTAACACCATCCCCCGCAGGAAAAACTGTTGCCATGAATGGGTGAACCTGGTCTGCTACTATGTTCAAGTGTTCAAGTAGCTTACAGACGTCAGGGATAGTTCTATAAGGATTATGGGTCCTAATGTAATGGCTCTTCTATGTATATATATATATATATATATATATATGCTTCTGCAGCTTATAAAATTTTTGAACTTAAATATTATTTCAAAGACTAAGACTTTGAAGATTAAAACAGCTGAAGATTTTTCTTGATACAAAGATGCTAGAGCTGTGGTAGCTCATAGGANATATATGGTTATATCATAGATCAAAAATTACTGGAGACTTTTTAAAAATGACATTTTATAAAGAACCAAATGTTTATTTCTTATGAAAGAATTGATGTAAACATTGAATATTCTACAGACAAAAAGTTCTTTGACCTAGAACGTTAAAACACTTGTTAACACTTTTTCCTACTAAAATAGGAATATTGAAAAGTAAAGTTTCCTTAAATCGCGTGATGCTTCTCCGATCACATGACATTTACTTTCTTACTTAATGTAATAAATGGATGATTCGTGTTACAAATAGAAATGACGCAGTAGAATATCGCAAACTAATCCTTTTTCTTTAAAGTAATTGAAAGGTTTACAAATTATAATTGAAAATAAGATGAAAAGTACTTAATGAAGAGAGAGAGAACCTTGAAGGAGAATGAAAATATGTTCTTTGAAAAATCGGCAATCCTCCTTCACGGTCATTAGTTCCTTTTTTTTTTCTTTCTTATTTTTTGTTACTGTTACACACGAATCACCTTCAAAACTCTTGACTAAATGATCGAATTTAAGCTATGAATATCTCCCAAACAGCCTTAAAAAAACTTTACTTTTGAGGGAAATGTGACTTACTATAACTTTATCTAAAAGAGATATTATTTTTCTCTTTCTTAACAAAAGGTGCATAAGCAAAAGATAAGGATGAAAAAGAAAATTAAAAAAAATATATATATATGAATGTAGAAATAACTTTTTCTTTTATAAAGAATTTTTTTTCTTCAATTTCTTAAGCAGACTATAAAAAAAATTTACGATTGAGGGAAATGTGGCTTAATATAATTTAACTAAAGAAAATATTATTTTTCTCTATCTCAACCAACTTAATCAAGAGTGCATAAGCAAAGAAAAGAGATGAAAACGAAAATTTTTTAAAAAAACTATAAATGTAGAAATAACTTTTTTTTTTATAAAGTAAATTTTCTTCAATTTCGCTAACAGCTAAAAGAAAGAACTTTACTATTGAGGGAAATGTGACTTAAAATAATTTTATCTGAAGAAGATATTATTTTTCTCTATCTTAATCAAAAGTGTATAAGCTAGATGAGGATTAAAAAGAAAATTTAAGAAAACTATGAATGTAGAAATAACTTTTTCTTTTATAAAGTAAATTTTCTTCAATTTCGCTAACAGCATTAAAATAAAACTTTACTATTGAATGAAATATGACTTAATGTAATTTGATTTAAAGGAGATATTATTTTTCCCTATCTTAACCAAAAGTGTATAAGTAAAAGATAAGGATGAAAAAGAAAATTAAAAAAAAAAAACTGTGAATGTCTGAATAACTTTTTCTCTTATAAAGAAAATTTTCTTTCCTAATTTCTTCCTTGCATGAAATCACGAATCCAGTTGAGTGAGTGACCTTAAGATAATTGAGCTTGTGGAATAAATTATTTCACAGTGCAATAAACTTTAATGTATCTTATTGTGTAAGAGATTAATTAAAGAATCTTATCACGCTTCCTTACTATTTAAAATAAAATATTTTTTTCTCTTCTATTTTTTGATAATTTCATAACAAGTTAGAAATCAATATGTCCTCCAGAATTAGTTAAAATGTCTTCTTCATTATTTTTCTTTTAACTCAACTTCTTAACTTTTATTGTAGTCTATACACAACCGAGTAATATTTCTCCGATTGTTCTTTTACTTATATGGATATAATAGTTTTCATTGTGCAAAACTCATGATGCAAAAAAAACTAAAAAATCAAAATATTTAAAACGCAGCATGAAACACTAGTGTCTTTTTCTGCGTTAAAGGTTAAGTCTTTCAATCGCGGCGTACTACCCAGGACTGAAGAGAATAGAAGGGCTAGTTCACTCCGCTCTTAGAGCTGAAGCTACGATTTCCCTCCTCATGACGTCACTGTGTCCACAGATCTCGGAAGATCGCACGCAAAGATATTATGATAACTTTGCATCTTTCTCTGTAAAAATAAGTTAGACATTTTCTGGTTATTAGCTTTCAAACTTTGAGTAACTAACACTTTATTTCCGCTCATAAACATAGTTCAAAAAAACTTTCTTGGCCATTATATTAAAAAAATACCATTTTAAACTTATAAAAATATTTTACTAGTTGGCGAAAATGACACTATAAATACTTTATTTTAAAAAGTTCTGTTTTAACTTTAATTATTAAGAAAAATTAAAGCATATATTGGCTTTTTTTTATCTACATATTCTGTTATAGCAATAAGTTGAGTTAAATTTAGTGTCCCTAATTTTTAAATATGCCGTTAAAAGCAATTTGTTCATACTTAATCATTAGGAAACATCAACCTTATACGCTAATTACTGAAACAAAATAATAATTTAGGTTCATAATGAGATTAGGAATTTTACAATTGTTTATAGATATTTAAATTTCCGATGATATAATTTATAGATATTTAAATTTAAGAGAATATAATTTTTGAAGAAATCATAAATATTTAGAATAACTACATTAAAAATATGTTATGAAATTAGGAGAATTTCAACTATATACTACGTATTTTATTTACATTTTAATTTTCTTTGACTTTATCTAATTTTTAATTTTTTTCACCTGCCTTTCTTTTTGAAGTAACGAGGCGGTTTCTATTTAGATAATGAATTTTTATAAAAGTTCTTAACGATAGAATAAACGTATTGCTGTTTTATATTAACTGTGTCATTTCGGAATCCATTCTTTACATAGTTGTTCATTTACTTTAGGGAACACGTTTTTCCTTTTGCTTTTTTATCAGAATTTTTGCAGTTGCAATCGCGCAAACTGGCATTTCGATAATAGTTTTAAATTTTTGTAAATTCACAGCAAAAACTGAGGAAAGTCATGATAGAAAATAACAAATGTCTTAGCATATCTCGCAAAAAGAAATGCTCCAATATTAGTTAGAGCTAGCAGGGCCGAACGCTCCGTTCTTGAAGTAAAAGTGCGAGCTTTGCGCCAAAGTGACGTCACTAGAGAAAATCGGAGGATTGGCGCAGCGAGAGTTTCTTCAAAGGAGTGAACCAGCCCTTCTATTCTCTTTAGCCTTGCTTCTTACCTGCGTTAAAAAGTAATTTGCGCTTATTTGCAGTTATTTAGATCTAAGAGAAACTTCATCATTCTAATTTCTTTAATTTTTAAAATCAATTTTTAAAAAAGGTTACACATTGGCAAAATGGTTGTTGTCTAATTTTTTTTACCCTCTTTATTTGTGATATTCCCCTGAATTATTGTTGAAAACGATCCTGTTTGAACTGTAGGTTAGAATTTATGATTCCTAATTAAAACAATAAAAACAAAAATATCGTTCATATGATGAAATTCTCTTTTATTCACAACTCGAAAAGTATTTACGGGATCTCTCTGGTCCCTTATCTCAAAAATAAACTCACCAACATAATGTATAACAAAATTAAAAGTGAAAAAAAAAAGAATTTTAACAAAATTATCAAGCAGCAGCGGTCGCCATAGCAACGCATGCAATGACGATGCATGTACACTGTTTACTATTACTCTTGAACACAATTGAAAAGTGTGATGACGTCCAAATAAGGTGCGCACGCCATCGAACCCAAAACAACACCCATTTTGGCAATGGGTAATAAATAAATAAATAAAAAAAAAACATTTTATTTTTCATTTTGCATAGTTATCGTCGAGTCTTGTTTTCATCCAAAACAACTATCAAACAACACATCTCTAAAAAACGTATTGTTACAGTCATTCTTTTTTTTTTTTTTTAATTTAAGTGAAATTATGCTCTTTTTTTTCCTTTTTTTTCCTTTTTTTATTGTACATAACTAGTTAATTTCCTTAAGGTAAAAAAAGAGTAAATAAATGAAACGTCTTGCTCCCCCGATGCAGTGCTTCGCCTGCATACACTACCGATACAGAAAAAGTACAATTATTTTAACTTGGTACAAAAGATTTAAAGTTAGGCACATTTTAGAATACAGGCATCTCCTTCTCCTGTATGTGCTGAACAAAAGTGTTCTTTAGGTTAGTGAGTGCATATTGTCCCAAATGTTGAGCTTTAAATTTACAGTACAATTATACATCTACTCTTTAAAAGTATTCAATAAAAGAAATATGAGTCGTGGTAGCTCAGGGGATAGAGTGTTTGCCATCCAATGAGGCGAACTGGGTTCGAATCTCAGCTATGTCTGGTCGATACGAATTCCGCACCCGGCTCGCACCAACCACATTGCTGACGTAAAATATCCTCAGTGGTAGACGGATCATGTGTTATTGTTATAGTCCCCCTACCGTCAGGATAACCGTGGGAGGTTTTCGTGGTTTTCCTCTCCTTGTAACGCCAATGCGGATTAGTTCCATCAAAAAAGTCCTCCACGAATGACGAATTTCTACCAATGCTTGATCCAGGAGTTCCCTTGTCTTCGGGATTGGATTCAAAATTATAAGGTTACGAAGTTGAACATTAGTAGTCTTAAACCCAAAAATTGGGTCAGCTGTTCAACGACGGTTATAAAATAAAATATAAGAAATATGAACCGTGGTGCCACAGGGGATAGACCGTTCGCCTTCCAATGAGATAAACTGGGTTCAAATCTCAGCAATGGCTGGTCGATAATAATTCCGCATCAGGCTTGCACCGACCACAGTGCTGACGTAAAATGTCCTTAGTAGTAGACGGATCATGGGTTAGAGTCCCCTTGTCATCAGGCTAAACATGGAAGGTTTTCGTGGTTTTTCGCTCCATGTAACGCAAATACTGATTAGTTCCATCTAAAAAATCTTCCACGAAGGCAAATTTCTCCCAATGCTTGATCCAGGAGTTCCCTTGTCTTCTGGATTGGGTTAAAAATTACAAGGTTAAAGAGTTGAACATTGGTAGTCGTAGATTTTTAATCACTTGTGTTCCTAGAGTATATACCCATGTCTTTTTTTTTTTTTTTTTTTTTTTTTTAAATTCTGGAATTTGATACCTTGAGTACTGTTGTGCAAGCTGCAATTTTCTTCTGAGTTACAAACATCTTATATTTAACCATGTGAAATTATTTCCTTTTATTAACTTTGCACCCCTACTGAAGATGCGACATCAATATCTCTTCTGATTGTTACTGTTTATTTTCTTTTTTATGTTTGTTTGTATTTAGTTTATTTCTCAGTAACGCTGTTTTCTGGATTTCATATTTAATATCCTACCTATTCGTTAAAACTCTAATTTGAAAATTTTGAATATGGTTGTTTATGTGATTGAACTGTTGCGCGAAACTTCGAACTTTCGGAGTGTCCCCGGATGCCCCCTACAGGGTCGGGGGGGGGGTTAAGCTAGTCATTGGTAGTCGTAAACCCAAAATTGGGACAGCTGTTATAAATATAAATTATAAATAAACGAAATATATATCCAAAAAACAAACAAACAAGAAAGAATATCATTTGAAACTGTAGCGATTTAAGTTTTTCAGCGAATTTAAGCTGAAAATGCCTCCACAAAAACAATAAAGTTTAACAAAGGATAATTCACCCTCCTTGAAAAGGTCTTAAAATTCCAAAAAACGAGAAGGAATTTTGTTGATTTCGAGAAAATATTATCACCAGACATAGCATCCGCGTGATTTATAGCAACCCTTTGTTTTCTAAATGGATAAAAAATTTACTCTCGAATAGGTTTTTATTACTCTCTAATAAAACCGCCGATTTTTAAAAATTGACGTGTGGTTACACTCTATAGAATAATCTTACACGCGAGTACTTTTCATACAAAGAAAAAAGAAAACGTCTTTTCGCACGTCTTTCCTCTCCTCCACCTCCCCATCCCTATTCCTAACAATGGATATCGGAAATAAAGAACACACTTGAAAGCAGACGAACCGAGAATAAAACGCGAAAAACAATAGACTGAAATGTTTAGTCGCAGAAGAGAAAACAAAAATATTAAATTAGCATTGTAATTTTAAAGTACAGTGAAGTTTAGATGATTTTGAAGGGATTGTACATGGCATTTCCATGCAAATTTCGTTACAGTGTTTTGTATGCAGTTGTTTTACGATTGGGACTACAAATTAGTTCGGCCCGTTTTTTTTGTGGTCAAAAATGCATTTATTTCAGAATAAAATGAATGAACAGATTAATCAAAGTGTTGTCCATCGCTGGCTACTACTTTTTTCCACCTCTCAGGCAATTTTCGAATTCTATCTCGGAAAAAAATGTCTCGTCTTTTGAAACGATCCAAGTTAGGAGTCAGTTTTCGATTTCTGCGAAAGAAGTAAACCGGTGACCGGACAAATCGTGCTGCATCCGTCGGAACAACCAGTAATCAGAAGGAGTAATGTCCGGTAAATACGGCTGGTGCGGTAAAATATCCCACTTGAGCGTTTCCAATGAATTTATTACGACTTTTGCGACATGAGGCCGACCATTATCATGCAGAAGAATAACTTTGTCATGCCTTTGCTCGTATTCCGGCAGTTTTTTTCATAATGCACGACTCAAAAGTATCAATTGTAGCCTATACCGATCTCCCGTAATGGAATCGATCGCCAGGTTGTAGAAGCTTATAGTATACAACTTATTCTCATCTCATTTTCATCGTTTCCTTCTTCGAAATTTTCTATTGGTTTCAATTTTTTTTTATGGAATTTCTGCTGCATTGCGCAACTTTCCTTTGGAATTGTAGTATTTAACTGCTTTATACATGATTCATGATTTCTCATTTTGTTAATAAAAGAATGAGATCACAGATGTTTTCACAAAACTGTATCTTTTTCATCGTGTTGACATTCTGCGTAATGAGTATTGAGGAAGCTGGCAGAGGATAAACAAGAAGAAAGGCTACAAACTCATCATAAACAGTCATAAAAATAGCCCTCGTGCACTTCAGTACAGTGGTCCTAAATTTATTTACGGACTCTTAAGAGATCTTCTGGGGGAACTTAGGGAGGGAATTAAAATTATTTTTATACCTTAAGAAAATGAAGCTAAGCAAACAGCATCTAGTCTAGTTCTTAATTTATTTTTCTTGCATTTGTAAGTTGAAAATTAATAAAATAAGCTTTATATTGAAATAACGGATTAACAAATATTGAGAGTGGTAATCAGAATCGATACAGAAAAAGTACAANAAAAATATAAAGTTAAAAATATAGAGAAAACCTGAATAATAAAAAAAGATTAAGGAAAAGAAAAGAAGAAAAATTATAAAAATAAAATAATTTTAAATTTTTTTAAAAAAAAATTAAAAAAATGGTTAAAACAAAGCCGGAACAATAAATAAATTGAAAAGAAAAAAACACGAAGAAAATTAAGAAACAGAATAAGTTTTATTTATTGCGTATAAGCTGCAAGTAAATAGAACTCATAAAATAAGTTCAAAATGTAGAGAAAACGTAGAAAAAATTACAGAGCAATGAAAAAAAGGGGGGGGGGAAATAAAAAATAATAATAAAAATATAAATAACAAGAAACCTGAAAAATAAAATCCGAAAAAAAGGGAAAAAAAAAATTTCTGATTTTTTTTCTTCCGGTTTCTTGATATTTTTACTTTTATTATTATTCTTCATTTCCCCCTTTTTTCATTGTTCTGTAATTTTTTCCATGTTTTCTCTACATTTTGTACATATATGTATAACAATTTAAATAACATAATAGCAATTTAAAATATTTTTAAAAAAATCATTAAAAAAATTATTTTAAAAAAAAGCCGGAAAACAAAATAAGGAAATTAATTAATTATTTTCATTATTTTGTTCTCCGATTTTTTCTTTAAGCAATTTTTTTTAATTACTTTTTTAAAAAATATTTAAAATTGTATTATTTTTCTTCATCTCTTTCATTAATTATTATTATTTTCCACAGTTTCTCTACGTATTTAACTCATTTTATGAGTTCTATTTGCTTGCAACTTATGCGCAGTAAATGAAACTTATTAATTTTCTTCAATGCTTACGTTTATTTCTCTCTCTTTTCTTTTTCTTTTCGTCTTGTATAATATTATATATATACATATGTATTTAATAAAAGACGCAATTTATTATATTTAATTATATTATATTTATTATTATATTTAATAAAAGACACAGAACTTCTTCGCCTTCTTTGTAGATTCTTTACTCTTTTTTAATTTCTTATTTCTCCATATATATATATTGTGTTTATTATTATGTGCTAGTTTGCTGTTTTGTTTTTTTTTCCCTTCACTATCATCATTTTACTTAAATGCTTCCATAAACACAAACAAAACTTCTTCTCCATAGACGAATGAGTAACGGTTGAGGGCGCTCTTACACACTACGGGAGAAAGAGAGAGAGATATAAATATACGTTTTTTCTCTTTCTTCATCTTCCTTCATCATCATCATGGGACGCGTTCGAGAATTTCGTGCCGTTGTCGGCATCGACGAACTCTCGTTCAACAGCACTCTATGGAGGGCTCTCCCGGCAGAATTTCTGGGAACAGGATTCCTGGTACTCGTCGCCTGCGGATCCTGCACCGGAGGATGGGAGGAGACCTACTCCCCAACCATGGTGCAAATTGGTCTGGCTTTCGGTCTTTCCGTGGCCACCATGGTACAGGCCATCTGTCACGTGAGTGGAGGTCACATCAACCCGGCGGTGACGGCGGGGATGCTCATCGCCGGGAAATGCTCCATACTCCGCAGCATCCTGTATGTGGTGATGCAGTGTGCTGGAGGCATTGCGGGGGCGGCAGTGCTGAAGTCCGTCACCCCCGAGGATCTGAACTCACAGTTGGGAATGACCTCCATCCATCCGAAGATGTCCCCCATCCAAGGTGTGGGAGTGGAATTTCTGATTACTTTTGTGTTGGTTTTCACGGTGTTCGGTGTGTGTGATCCCCACAGAAGGGATGTAAAGGGATCAGCCCCTCTCGCCATCGGCTTATCCGTCACGATGTGCCATTTGTGGGCTGTAAGTATTCTTTTTCATTTCATAATATTAACTTTAATACAGTTGGATCCCGTTATAGCGAACTGTTTGCGGACTAGACAATAAGATATTGAGTTTCACTATATCCAAAATCTAAGAAAAAATATTTTTTTAGCATAATGCAATAATTATAGTTGGAAATAGATATTTCAATAGTAAGTATTTTGCTTGAAAAATTAATAACTATAAACGTAGCATCTATGCGCATAGTTTCATTGCAGCGAATCACTTCCCATAACGAAATTTTTAGAAGGAACGTTTAATAACATTTTAAATATTTTCTATCCATAATTTTTTAGGATTTAATCTTTTTAATTTTGGTCATTTTTTTTAAATGATTCTCTTTTTTATTTCCGTCATTTTTGGAACCACTCGCATATCTGTTTCTACGAAATGATTCTTTTTAAACAGTCCTTTCTAAAGTGTGTTACATCATTGGCTAAAAATCTATACAAACCGGGCAAATAATGTTTTTTTTCTGGAAAATTTTAATAATTTTCTAAAACCATCAAAATTGTGTAATTAACTATCGACCTTATTAATTATAAACTTTAGATTATAAAGATTTATATTATTACCTTGCGCTCATCCATTTTCTGGCCAATCCAAGGTAACTAACAAACCAAAGGAAGAATGCGCCATAAAAAATCCATCGACGCTTCTATCCTATGTTTACTCTTCAATTTTCATATTTTGTAATCCTGTAAACTTATTACGAAAATATCATTTTTGAAAGATTTCGGAACGTGCAAGCCCATTTAAATTCGCTACTCACTTTATAGATTACATTTCGTATTTTATTCTGTATTTTTCTTACATTTTATTTTCTATTTTCGCTTGATATGCTTTATTTCGTAGATTCTTTATTTATTATTTTCTATATTCGTTAAAAAATTTTTTTGGGTGCTCCTCACACTATTGTATTGATATATTTTGCTTAAACGCAATATTAGAAAGCACTCCTTTTCGCGGATATAATCGTGAGAGCTGATGACGAGATTATATCTCTTCAATATTTTATTTCTCGGATTTTAAATAAAAAAAATTTTTTAAAAATATTTTTAAACATATATTTTTTAATATTTTTTTCTTCTCTTCACATTAATCTTTATTGTATTATTTTCCATGCTTTTTTTTATATTTTTAACTTATTTATGATTACTCTAACCCATGATCCGTCTACCACTAAGGATATTTCACGTCAGCTTTGTGATCGGTGCAAGCCGAATGCGGAATTCATATCGACTGTGATTCGAAAACGGTTCTCCTTATTGGAAGGCGAACGCTCTACCCCCTGAGCCATTGTGGCTTGGGATAGCCTGGTTGGCAGGACGCTGGACTCTCGTTCGTGAGAAGGGGAGTTCGAATCCAGACTGCTGAAGACTCCCCATGTAGTAAATGGGGACTGGTGCACGTCAAATCTGTCGGGTCTTAAAGTCCTCCATGTTCCCGTAACAAATTATTGCTCTGGGTGTACTGAAATGGATATTGATCATTCGCTGGTTCTGGTTAAAATTACGATCTGTGGATGAATGAATGAATCCGCTCTTTAAATGGGTGTGGTGAAAGTCCAATTCTGAAGACTCCCCGTGTAGTAAATGGGGACTGGTGCACGTTAAATCTGTCGGGTCTTAAAGTCCTCCATGTTCCCGTAACAAATTATTGCTCTGGGTGTACTGAAATGGATATTGATCATTCGCTGGTTCTGGTTAAAATTACGATCTGTGGATGAATGAATGGATGTATGAATTAATCCGCTCTTTAAATGGGTGTGGCGAAAGTCCAATTCTGAAGACTCCCCGTGTAGTAAATGGGGACTGGTGCACGTCAAATCTGTCGAGTCTTAAAGTCCTCCATGTTCCCATAACAAATTATTGCTCTGCGTGTGCTGAATTGGATATTGATCATTCGCTGGTTCAGGTTAAAATTACGATCTGTGGGTGAATGAATGGATGCATAAATGGATCCGCTCTTCAAATGGGTGTGACGTATGGGTGTGGCGAAAGTCAAATTCTCGGGTGTAGATGCCGCTGGAAAACAATAATAATCGCCTCCCTTGCCTTAATGGTCTACGACAACAACAGCATAGCTTATAAAACATTAAAAAAATAAAAACATTAAGAAAATTTCAACCTATCTTATGGCAGAGGACATGAGGCAGAGAACAATATTCTTCATCCTCTCATTCAGAAGTTACATATTTTTTTTCCATCGTGTCCATGGACAATTAAATGGCCTCGTGTGCCTTCAAAATAGCATCCGCAAACTGCAATACATCATTACTGTAAAGGATCTCACGAAGTTCTGAAGCCAGTGACACCATACCCAGTTGTAAAACATATGGGGTAAGTACTGGGCACTCGAGAATGTGATCCTGGATAAGTTGGACATCGGTGCAGTTCTTGCAGGGAATGTAAGTTCTTATTTCGTCGGGAAGAATTTTCACACCTTTAAAGTGGTTTGTTCTTAGTCTAGTAATTGTTGATGTTAAGATTCGGGAACAATCAAAGTCATAAAATAACATAAATTATTCTAATTAGGTTATTATTATTATGTGAGATCTTTCCACCTAGATGAAAAAATCAAAGTCTCAACTTTTGTAAATTTTAATCACTTGAATCAAACATACAGAAATGAGATCACAGATGATTTTTCATCGTGTTTGATATTCTGCATAATGAGTACTGAAGACGCTGGCAAAAGATGAACAAGAATAAAATGCTGCAAACTCATAACCATAAAAATAGCCCTCGTGCACTTTAGTACAATGGTCTCAAATTTATTTTATGGACACTCAAGAGATCTTTTGGGGGAACTCAGAGAGGGACTTAAAATTATTTTTATACCTGAAACAGACATGAATTTACAAATCTAAAGGTTAACAAGCAGCATCTTAGTTTAGTTCTTAATTTATTTTTTGAAGCATTTATAAGTTGAAAATTAATAAAATAAGCTTTTCATTGAAATTACAATGAAAACGAAATGGATTAACAAATATTGAGAATGGTTATCAGAAAAACATTATATTTATATATATCTATAAGAAGAGAGTGAAATGTTAACACATAACCAATCACAGAAGACTTCTGGTTAGTAACGCACAAAACAGCCAAGCGAAATTGAGAACGCATGAGTGTGAAAAAGTGATAATTTTTAATAATGCTGTCTGCTGAATTGTTACAACTAAACTTAGAACTAAACTAGTTTGTTGAAATTTTTATTTTGTTTAGAGCATGTCTAATGATGGTGTACTAGTTTTACCTTGTTTTTATTGGCCGGAAAATCACGTGGTAGGATCCAGTTTTTCCTCATTCATTTTCATAATGTTTTGGCTGTCATCAGCATAAAACTAATAAAAGTCGTAAGGGTATTGTTTTTTCTATAAAGATTTTTGTATTTTCGTATAAAGATTGTTGTTGTTATTTTCCTGTGCAGCTATTATTACGTTTTTATTTCAATTTTCGAATTTAAAACTAAGAGAATAGTTGTATTGCCGTTTTTTTCTTTTCTTTCTTCACCTTCCTTCATCATGATCATGGGACGCGTTCGAGAATTTCGTGCCGTTCTCGGTATCGACGAATTCTCATTCAACAGTACTCTATGGAGAGCTCTCCCGGCAGAATTTCTGGGAACAGGATTCCTGGTACTTGTCGCCTGCGGATCCTGCACCGGAGGATGGGATGAGAACTACTCCCCAACCATGGTGCAAATTGGTTTGGCTTTCGGTCTTTCCGTGGCCACCATGGTACAGGCCATCTGTCACGTGAGTGGAGGTCACATCAACCCCGCGGTGACGGCTGGGATGCTCATCACCGGAAAATGCCCCATACTCCGCAGCATCCTGTACGTGGTGATGCAGTGTGCGGGTGGGATCGCGGGGGCGGCCGTGCTGAAGTACCTCACCCCCGAGGATCTGAACTCGCAGTTGGGAATGACCTCCATCCATCCGAAGATGTCCCCCATCCAAGGTGTGGGAGTGGAATTTCTGATTACTTTTGTGTTGGTTTTCACGGTGTTCGGTGTGTGTGATCCCCACAGAAGGGATGTAAAGGGATCTGCTCCTCTCGCCATCGGCTTATCTGTCACGATGTGCCATATGTGGGCCGTAAGTATTCCTCTTTAAATTTCGTTTATATTAACTTTGAAATAGATGAATCCCGTTATAGCGAACTGTTTTGCGGATTCAGCAATAAGATATCTAGTTTCACTATGTCCAAAATCTATGAAAAAATATTTTTTTAGCATACTGCAGTAGCCTAGTTGGAAATAGTGATTTCAATAGTACGTTATTTGTTTCAAAAATTGATAAATGAAAATGTAGAAGAAATGTAATTTCTTTACAACGAATTACTTCCAATAACGAAATTTTTAGAAGGAGCGTTTGCAGAATATGCACCAGGAAGTATCATGAATGATATATAATATATATATATATA